AGACCAGCGTGAACGGGAGGATGCTGGGCTGGCTGAGGGAGGGTGAGTGTGAGGCCCAGGTAATTACAGGGCGGAGGGTGGCTTGGTCACTTGGCTTGGCCGTGCCACATGCGTTGAGGGAGCTGTACGGAGTCCTGACCCTGACTTGTAAAGGAAACCGAGAAGCAGCCCTGCTCCTCCGGTGAGAGAGGAGAAATCGAGGGCGAGAGGGAAGCCTGCTCCTCAATTCCTCTGCTTGCTTACCAGATTTTTTACATGTTTATGCACGAAAAGGAAGGTCAAATCTTAGGAGAGCTGTATTTCTGATAGCCAAAATGAAGCAGGTCCATGCAATGTTGGGGAAGCTGTGTTCGTGTCCATGCTTCCGCACCAGGGTTCCCACTGAGTAGTGCCTGGGGGAGAGTTTCATCAAACCAGAGACCCAAATCCTCCCATCTCTGTATCCAACTGTCTTTCTACGTGTTTCTCAAGTCATTCAAAGCTTTTTAGCATTGAGCTTGCTCTTTCATCCCGCCCTTAATCCTACCTCTCCTGCCAAAAGCTGTGTCTTGCAAGTTCACCTCATCCCCAGTAAATTCCTAGCTGTTTTTTAGCTATCTCCGCTCTGGCTGTCCCCTTCCTTTCTGTCTCCTTCAGCATCTCCGCTGGCTGAGAATAACTTACCTTCTGGCTGATATTACACCAACTAAACCCAGTGGCTCTTGTGGTACAAGTAAAGATGGGCTCCCGCTCCCACTCTAGCTGGGCTTTCAGAAACCTGAATGCCTCGTTAAATCATTTCCAGGGGAAGAGGCAGTGTGAGTTCAAGAGTCTGTTTTGCCAAGGAAGAAATTGAATCCAGTTTTTCTTTTCCTGCACAGATGTTCTAATCACTGGGTTTGTATTTGAAAAGCAGTATTCTTGAATCTATGTTTGAGTGTCTGAGCTTTTTTTTTTTTTTTTCCCAAATAAAACTCATCAGCAAATTCAACAATATTTATTGAATCTGAGTGTATGACACTTAGAGGTCAAAAGTAATCTTCAAAAGTAAAGAATCAAAAGTACAGTTGGGAAAAAGTATACGTAAGCTTAAAGGTAATAACTGGGGGAAAAATCTATTTCAAATTTCCCTGCCTGAATATTCAGAAACTTTGATATTTAACGTTATTAGGCACAGTTAACCTGAAAAATAGCATGCTTTTAAAGCAAAGATTTTCTTTTTGTGAAAGGCAGAACCAGGATTTTTTGCTTATTTCCCTTTCTTGGTAGCTTTTCTTAATTCTTTCAGCTCCTGGCTTCAGGCTCATTTTATGTATTGTTTAGTATTTGTAAAATAATAATTTCTGAGCATGTGTTTTGTGGGTTCCCCTCCCCCCAGCATACCCTTTTTCTGATTCTGCCTCCCTGTTGGAAGTGGGCTTTTAAAAAGTTTCATTTTTGTGTAATTGCATTTGAACATTTGTCACATTGTTTTGCTTGTGCATTTTTATTTTGCTTTAGTTTGGTGACTTTTTAAAAATTTTTATTTAAAGAGCCAGTAGCTGAGCTGTAAAAGACTGTCAGAGTAATGGTCTGTTCACTACGGCTTTGAAAATCAAGGCATTATAATGGTTCTCTTGCTTAAACAGTTACTTTGCCTGTGATCACTTGAAGGAGCATAAAAAGAAACTGATACTTAGGTGTTTAAGTGCCTTTAAAAATTACAGTCCAAAGTGCCACAGTAGAGCTGTGACTAAGGCACTTAAAAACAATGCAGAGAGCCCAGTATAGAAAACAAACAAGTGCTTATCAGCTCAAAAGGCTGGAGAAGGTGAAATTTGCCCTTTTGAATACTTGGGATACTTCCAGTGATAAAGCATTACTTTTACTAAACAGAGGAGCTTTGCAACATCTGCCATTTGGACAGTTTTAATCATATTGTTTACCAAATCTTCTTGAACAGGGATATCTGGAGTTCCCTGGCTAGGTGGACCTGTTTCTGTGGAACCAGAGGTTTGTTTATTTATTTAGCCACAAAAGGAAGACACGATGTGCAACTGTGTTAAGCTCCATGCCTGTTACCTTGCCAATAGCTCACACACCTACAATACCCATGTTAATTCAGATATACCAAATGCTGTTGCACTAATCTTACTAATTTTATTGACATTCCAGCTTTTTCATAATGAAAATATCAAATACAAAGACAAATCCTGTGTTTCTGGGTGCTCCCCCTCTTTCTGATGTTTCCGTGTTTTTCTGCAGTCCTTCTGTCTTTGTACAATATTGTTGATGGGACAAAGCAGTGGACGTCAAGAGAGAAGCAAGAAACTACAGCTGGCGCTAAGTGAGACCATGCAGGCAGAAGCAGATGTACAAGATAATAAAGAGGAAGCCGAAGAGCAGAAGGCCAAAGACCAGAGGCTAACATCAGTCTTTGGTGTGGCAGACTTAAAAAATGGTAATAATGTTTTGTCTATTCTCCACTCTCGTATTTTCTGTTTCTAATGCCTGCTGTTGCATTCTCTGTCCTTAGGCTTCATTTTCTCCTATTCTTTACCTCTTCATTGAGGAATATACAGATGATTCTCATTTTGCCCTGCCAAGTAACCATTTTGGGTTTTTGATAAAGGATTACATCTCGGAGCTTTTTCGTGTTTTAAGTCCTCAAATTGGCCGTTGTAGCCAAAAAGGTCTAGATGCTAGCCCTGTTTCCTTCCAAAAATAGCCAGTATTGCTTCTGTATTTGCTAAACCATGGACTAGGCCCTAGTTATTCTGCTGCCTCACTAGATTCGCCTCTCAAAAGCTGTCACCAGTATTTCAGGTGTACATACTGTTCTATGCCAGCTATAGCCCCCTCTTACCACCGGCTGTATGCATTTCAGAGTTGTTCTGAGTTTCCGTTCCATGCACTCTCTCTCTCTTTGGTGATGACTTCAGAAGAAAAACTTCTGATTTCCGACCACAGTTACTTATACAGCTTTGGGGCACAGAATATGCTGTCTTTTCAGATGCAATGTGAACAGCTGTGGCTTGCTTTTTCCACTTCTCTCAGGCTAGTTCCTTTCTTTGAAACTGAGAGAAAGAATACCAGAGGTAGGCTGAAGGGGAAACTTGAAGCCTGTGTGGTGGACAGCTAGCATGTGGTCCCACGTGTAGCTCTTCATTTTGTTATTAGGTCTGGCTGTGTAAAAGGCTGAATAAAAATCCTCATACAGGCAGCCTTAGATTTCTGGGGTTTTTTATGTTACGTTTAGGTGTGTTGTGAGAGGACTGAAAACAGAGGAACTAGGAGATGTTTGAGTATTATAATCCAGGCTTACTTGTTTTTTCCTGTCAGTTGCCGGACAAAAATAAATGTTTCTGCCTGTTCAATGTAATCCATGTAAGAATGGATTGAACACTTCCTCAGGTCTGACCCAGATGCTGGGCCTATACACTGAATGGCTGAATATGTGCAAGAGGAGTTTGCCACTTTCAAATTTAAGTTTCACTTTCTTTTCTTGTACCTATCTCCAGGCCTTACTTTCTCTTTTCCTGTGCCTACAGGAGCTATTGGACTGTACAACGTTGGACAGAGCTGCTGTCTGAACTCTGTGCTCCAAGTGTTCCTCATGAATATACACTTCACAGGGATACTTCGAAGGTACTACCTGAGATACTTCTGGTGTTGCTCTGTTGTCTCCACTCCTTTTCATATGGGATGTACATTGGAAGACTTGGATCATCAAGGTGCTAGCAAGGTGCTTTCAGCTCACTCAGCAAGGTTTCTGCCTTGTTGTGTATGCCACATACAGACTAGGGCCTGCAGAGGTAGAAGTTGGGATTTCCAGTTGACATATAGTTGAAATACAAGCATTATGTTATACATGCCCATGAAATTTTGAGGGTATGTTGTGAATGAAGGCATAAACAGGTGGGAAGCAAGAACAGCCCTGAAACTGGCCGTAACTAATGTTGTTTCTGGAGCCCAGAAAGCACTTCAGGTCCTGCTCGGTTTGTCCCTTATTCAGGAACAGGCCAACTTAAAATTACTTTAGAACTGTCAGCTTGCACTGTGGGATGAGCTAGTGCAGGTGTCTGCTTCCCCTTTTTCCTTCTTTTGCTGAAAACCTGCCCACTCTGGTTCCTCGAGTTGCTCTCTGTGCTATCCACCTCTGCTCCTTCAGGTGTGATGTCTAACATTTCTGCATTTTACTGCTTGATTACCATTCCTGTTGCTTCTTTTCTTTATAGGATTGCAGTGCCCCCACGTGCTGCGCAGAAGAGGAGGAATGTCCCATACCAAATGCTCCTGCTGTTGGAGGAGATGCAGTGTGGCAAGCGGAAAGCTGTTTCTCCCATAGCCCTTGCTTGCTGTCTTTCAGTATACAGAGTGGAATGTAAGCAGTGCTGCCTCGTGCCCACCTCTGTCTGCAGACCAGGGATGTTAATTACCAAGCACTAACAAGCAGTGCAGACTCTGCCATCTCATTCAGAGATTCAGAAATGTGAGGAGTTAGGTACACGACGACGTAGTGCTCTTTATAGCTGTCTCCCAGTTGTAAGCAAGACGCTGTGTCTTGTGAAGAGGGGGTAAAAAAAAGCCCCTGCTGGATATCCTCACTGATGTCCAAAGGGTGCGAAGACTCTCAGACTGCTGGAAGACTCAGCTACTGATACTGGCCAGAGGGAAAGGGCTGTGTGGGGCAGAGAGAGAACAGCTTATAGCTTGATTTGTCTTGCTATACTGTCGTGATAATAGTGAAACAGCTGCTATTTCTTATTAGAAGGAAGGGGTCATCTGGAAATGATACTGAATTCACTTGGATCCTCAAGGACAGAAACTGTTCCTTGTTACAAGGGCAGAGAGAAGAACTTGCTGGCTTAACCTCCCACCTGGGCAGAATCCCAAAGGAAGGAGATTGTTAAATGCACAGGTGACTAGTGACAGTGGGATGCTGAGGGTCTGTTTATGTGTACAAATACGTACAGAATATCCAAATGCCCTGATCTTTGTTATATAAAAGCCAAAACAGGACAGCACTGAAAGGGACAGATGGTAGCCAGCCCAGACCTATATTGAGGAGGAATGTCAGATAAAACCTGAATATTTCTGTTTGCATCGTTTTTCCCCTGAGACTGAATGGCTCTGCATTTTGTCTTCTCTCTTCCAGTTAAAGAGAGATGCCCAAAGGGAGTTTGTAGAGCTTGACAGGTTCCCATCTTGCCCTTCTGCTTTAAAATTCATGAGTCGTTCATAAAGTCCTGTATCCCAGTAAGAGGTGCTTTACCTGGATCACAGATGTGCTATTAGACGTGAAGAAAGGTATATTTTCTGAGCTTCATTTAGTCAGGGATGTCTGTAATCTTACTAGAACCCAGCTGAAGTCGGTACCTGCAGGCTTGCAGGGAACTCACGAGCGCTTCCACCTCAGGTCGTTGGATTATTCCACAACATTTGTTTCACCTATGATCAAGCATAGAAGTAGTCCAGAAATGCCAAGATTTTGCAGAACAATGTGTAGTTTTTGCCCAGTTCTTAAATCTTGACTTCATCATGAGCTGAGAACATTAGTTCTTTGCATTCAAGGACATGGATTTCCCCCCCCCCCCTAAATTTAATCTTGAAGCAATTCTCTGCTGAGCCATTCTAAGCAAGTTGTGCATTGAGCTGTATTGCACCATCTTGGGTTTCTTAATATGCCAGTTTAGCCAGAGTGGAAAGGCAAAGCCTGATGTTACCACATCATCCTTTCCTTCCTGTGCTGAAACTGTGTGCTTTTTCCTTGGGTAGTGATCAAGGGGTTTACAGCATTCTGTGGATGAGACGTATGGATATGCCTCCCTGTCATTTTTATCTCAGCACTCAGGAGTGTTACAGCCTTAGCGAGGGGATGGGGGAGACAAGTCTGTGGAGTAAGGAAGGTGGAAAAGAGAACAGAATCATCCCTGTATTTTTTCTAAGAACAACTCAGATAAATGCAGCCCTCAACTCAATGAGTCATCTGAGCCCTGTCCTCCGGTAGGTATTGGGTATATTCTTGGCCCTGCCTTCAGTGACAAGGACATGACTTGTACTGGGTTGTACAATGGGGCCCTCAAGCCCTTCTTTTCCCACCGCCTGCTCAGGTCACACAGAGACATTGCAGCTCATCTCCAGTCTAAGCTCTGTCCCTGGCAAGGAGTAGCGAGGGAACAAGAGACTGGATTTAATGGGGAACAATGAATCTCCCTTTGCCATCTGTGGGAAATCTGTGCTGCTTGTTGTTTGTAACACTGACTGAGGTTGTGTTCTCTGTTTGTCTAGTGTTTGTGCAGCATGATGCTGCCCAGCTCTTTCTGACTCTCTGGAACCTGATAAAGTGGCAGATGAAAAAGCCGGAGCTGGTAAGGACAGTCACTGAAATGAACACCAGGTCCTTTGGCCCTTGTCATGTGCGATTTCCTCTGGTTCTTTAAGAAGAGTCCCATTTACTGACAATTCTCCTAAATGAAATTCTTAAAATTATCCCCTATTTGGATCTTTTCTTGCACCTTTCAAATGGGAGAGAGAATCTTGATTTCATAGGCTTCAACATTTTGAATCATAGTTGAACTTCTGTTCATCCTACCTTTGGGGCATGCCAGGGTCTACGTTCTAATGGGAGAGATGATTAATAACAAAAAGATGGATCTTTTTGCAACACTTTCTGCAACACTATCTTGCATTTCTTTTTTTTCCCAAATTTCTATAAGCATTTGTTGGCCTGTCTTGACAAAGCTCTTCCATTGTTTGAAGTCAGCCATGTGCATTTTGTTGGAATTAGTCACTGTTAGTGTGTTATGTGTATGACAGTTCCTCCCAGGGGAGCTGTGTAGGTAAGAGAAAAGTGACTCCTCTTCAATCCACTGTCATAGTTTGTCATACAGAAGACAGGCTCCTGTTGCAGTTCCAAACAGAACAGTAAAATCCTGCATCAAAGCATACATCTAACTGTCTGATCTTGTTATAGGCTGTGTCTTTACCTTCTGCTAGGGGATGAGGGGAAATAGTTGTTTGCCTTTAAATGGTGGGAGGTGCCCTGGACACATAAATCAACGTCAGACCTGGGTTCAAGCCTTAAAGCAGTACATTCCGTGAAGTAATGTGCCCACATGGGCTTTGCTACCCACAGAGGGAAATACCTCAGCTGTGTTCTTTGTAAACCTTGTTTTGGTCTTTTTTTTTTTACCCCTCCAGGTTGAAGGTCTAAATGATTTGTACACTGTCTGTGTACAGGAGCACCTGGCCTGTCAGAAGTGCTCTTCTGAAGCAAAGAGGAACAGCAGCATGTTAACCCTGCCGCTCCCAGTGTTGGATTCCAGTTCTCGTATGCTGAAGTCTCTGGTAAGTTCAGTGGCAGCACTATTGCCTTAGGAAGAAGATTCTTGCGGCACTGGTGTCTCCTGGGACTCGTGTAGAATTTCTGCAAGAATCTCTGCAGGGTGTCTGGGACTTTGAGGTGATCTTTTCTCATTCACATTTCTTCTTTGTTTTGAGGGGTTCTAAATGTCTCAAAAAATTTGTTTGATTTGGGCAATGGAAAATAAGGTCCTTGAATCACCTTTCTAGAAAGAATGTTGACTAAATACTCTGTAAAACTCAAAGACTCATACTGCACAGTGATGTGTGCTTGCTAGACCTTAGATACCACAGTGAGGTGCCCTAGATAACTTGTAATCCCTGGCCAGACATGCTACATTTGCCCATTGCTGTGTTCTTTTACTGTTAAATTGGTATTGCTGTTTGATATCCAGATAGAGCAGTGATGGTGGCTATGTAGGTGCTGCCACAAATAGTGGATTTTTCAGGTGACAGTGGACCATTGGACCTTGCTTATTCTCTGACCACTTTATACTGCTTCAGCCTAAAGGAATCTCTTTCAAAATCTCTAAGGCTTTGAGGCAGGTATACAAGACACTTGTGCATCAACAGTTTTTTTTTTGTGGAAAGTGTGGTACTTTTTTTTTTTTTTTTTTTTTTTCCAACTAATGTGATCACAGCAGCAGTCAGGAAAAATGGGGTACCTTTTTGTAGGCTGTTGACCATCTTTTGTCCTTTGAATAAAATACGCCTTCTGTAGCTTTGCTGTTTGCTTGTACCGTGTGAAACAAAGTAGAAATAGAAATCCAGCTTGAAGCAATTCACTTGAAAGAATTCTCCTCTGACTTCTTAGGAAGACTGTCTGCAATACTTTTTCCATCCAGAAGAGTTGACTGATCACAACATGTGCTTCTGTGAACAGTGTGGAAAGAGAACACCTTTTCTTCAGGTAATCTGAGAATTAGTTCCCTGTATGTCTCTTATACCCCAAACTCCCTTTAGGACTGGGAAGGGTGGGGAAGGGGCTCAACCGTATCAGTTTAAGAGGAGATCAACAACTCAGATTTGTTGGCACAGCAATGTCAGCTAGGTATAAACCACATGCATCTTCCCTGTTAGGAAGTTCCCTGCTGTAGATGTAGCTCTAGCAACAAAAGAACGCTTTCTGGATTTTAATGTAAGTTGCCGAGAGATATGGCATTTCTGTACCAGCAGAAAGTTTCTGTTGGTTTATGTTGTGTTTCCCCTGTGGGGCTTTACGCCGCTGCATAGCTCCAGGGGTAGACAAGAATATATTGCTGGAGCTGTGCATACACTTAAAAGGAGGATACTATAGGGTGATTTTGTTTCTTCCCTGCTGTCCACTGGTCTCCCCGTTTTTTACAGTATTGGTCTCTGCCAGCTGATGCATTAGCTGTTTCGTGAAGAGGCAAGTGCATTGGAGAGAGAGGTGTGTAAGGGAGACTGCCTTAGCTCAGGGCTTGGAGGGGACTTTCCACAACATTTTCACCATTGGGCCGCCTCTGAGGCCACGGTGCATCCATATGTCTTGGTGGCAGCCGTGGCAGCAGCAATATTATCAACAAAGGCAGTGTTGGAAGGAATGAGCTGTTAGCTTGGCGTCCTTCACGGAGCTCTGGTGGCCATATGTCACAAGGAAGTTGGCCTGCCTCTTCTCGCCTACCTCGTGCCACCAACCTAGGGTTAAGAAAGCAGATGAGAAACAAAGCAGCCCTTGAGACACCCAAGGCTGGGTGCTGATCATGCTGAAGTTGAGACACTTGGTTATCGCAGCTCTGTTACGTATATGTGTCTTGTGAGCAGATGAGCTACAAAGGTTTGGCATCTGCTGTCTAGTGGAAATGGCAGTCATTCACTGTAGCACTGAGTGTTCTCCATGCCACCTTCACTGAATGGCCATGGCTGTTTCCACCCCACATGCCCGGGGTTTGTTCCATGGTTTTCAATTACGTTATTTATTGCTTTACAGAGCATGAAGCTAGTCCATCTGCCACAGACTCTGACCCTACATCTAAAGCGCTTCTGCTTCGAAAAATCAGCCCGCATTCACAAGCTTAGTCACTATCTGCCATTCCCACAAGACCTTGATTTCAATGCAGTCTTGACAGAAAATCAGTGCCAAGCAGATGACGATGAAAAGGTGAGGTACTCCTAATGCCCTGTTTAAAAAGGGCAGATTTTCTTCTCCCCTCTGCTCAAGTCTCATAAAAACTTAAGAGATCGTACCAGTACTTGCCTCAGGTTCAAAGCACCTGTTTTAAAAATGTATGTCTCAGTCTTTACCTGTGTGTGATGTGGTCTCACATCCCGTAGTTTTAACTGGTTCAGGCATTATTCAACTTTCTGAGCTCAGGTTAAATCACCAAAGGCGCTGTAACTGGAGCTTTCTGCATAAGGACAAAACCCAGGCTTTGCGAAAAAAAAAAAAAACAGTCCGAGAGTGTTTAGCATAACTTTTTTTTCTTCCATTTCTAAATATACTAAAGAAAATATGTTCATTTGGATGACCAAATCCAGACATTGTAAACAGTGTCTTAGAGGCAACTTCTGTCCTGTGGTTCAGCCTCCAGGCCAAGATGGCCTCAGCGAGCAGCAGACCTACTGCTTTGCAGAGGTCACCAAGACAGGGGAACTCCATTCCCAGCAGTTTCCCGGGCAGTGTTGTTTGCCAGAGTTGAGGTTAGCAGGGGGACGACAGCTTTGCCATGCAGCCGAGAGTGATCTGCTACGCTCTGGATCTGTTCCCCTTGCTGAGAAATAACAAGGGAAAGCGTGGCAAGAGCAAAACCTCGCTGGTGTAGTGTTGGCTGCAGTGTAACCCCTTGTTTCACATTCCTGTGGTGTCCAGGGAGGCTGCCAGCCCATAGCTGGCAGGCAAAACTGAGGGTAAGAGCGAAAAAGGCAAGATCCTCAAGGCCAATCTAATCTTTCTCTTTTTTCCTTACAAAATGCACGTTCTCTTCAGCCAGTGGCAGATGAGAATTGCTGCACTGAACGTTACTCTCTTTGGCTCTTCACAGGCTGCCTGGCAGTATGAGCTTTTTGCTGTCGTTGCTCATTCAGGATCAACTAGTTGTGGACACTACTGTGCCTATATTCGAAGTCTCACGGAATGCAAATGGTATTGCTTCAACGATTCTGAGGTGTGCCAGGTGAGGACGCAAATCCACATTTCTTTGTAGGTTCCTGGACACTCCTCCAGATCTCATTCAGTCTGACTGACTGCTGATTAAAGAGAACCGGGAAAAAAAACGGAAGCTGCAGAGCTTTGTGCGCCTCATTCCTCTGCTACAGCATACTCTGAGCTGAGGGCAAAGCGGCTGTAGCTTCTGTACCAAACAAGGCCTCAGGTTCTGGTTTGCAATTTGCAGAAGCAGCCATTTGCTGTATACCCTGCTTTATGTACTCTAGATCTGTTTAATGTATGTGTTCAGAAGAGGCAAAGGAACTGTTTTTCCTTGAAGGGTAAAAGCAATAAACCAATTTATTAAGTGGTGTTTAGTTCCTGGAAGCACCACTTATACCAGTCTTATGAGAACTGATGTGCTGATATCACAATGTGTCCACCTCTTAAGAGTTGTTCCCAGCCTGCTCTTGTGTGTTTTTCTTCTCTAGGTGTCATGGGATGATGTTAAATGCACCTATGGACATTCCAACCTCCACTGGTAAGCAAACATATCTCTGTTTTTACCTAATGCTGCTCTGGGGTTTGGAATAAGGGTAGCAAAGAGAGGGAAGACAGTTTGAACTGCATATTGCCTGGGATTTACTGGGGATGCAGGAGAGTAGAAGAGGCATCCTTGTATTCTGGTTACTCTGGTGTGACTGTATGTGGCTGTACTGGGAGCCTGCAGGATTACTGAGTAGTCACAAATGGGGCTGCAGGAGGGTCTTGTTACTTATGATTGCCACTTGGACCCTATATCCTGACTGAAGTTAGACATGTCAGTCCAGATGCCTCCATGCTTTTTCTTTGATGCATCATAAGAAAATGAGCCGTGGAAGGGAGATAGTCCCTCCTATAGGCTATAGCGCTGCCAGGGAGTCAGCTTTATACACTGCCTCAGGAACACTGGAGAGGGCCAGTTCAGTTGACCTAAACTTCAAAAAAGCTGAGCAGGAGCAAACCTGGGAGGTTCCTTTCAACCTAGATCTTCAAGCATACATCTTGTTTTGTTTTTTTCTTTGCTTCCACAGGGGAGAAACGGCCTATCTCTTGATCTACATGAGAAAACATCCTCAGTAGCCTTATCCAGGAGTATCAGAATGCCTTGGGAAGCTGTGCATTGTCCATGGAGCTCAGCGCCTCTGTGTGAATCTGGAGATGTACAAATGCTCCACAAGAAAGGCATTCTGCACTCAGCCAGCAACCTCTGCCTTCACATTTATTTATCAAAAAAGTGCAAGAGAGACTTGGCTAGAGGAAGGATCTAAGTGGTGCTGCACCTAGAAATGTTTTCTTTCATATATTTTTGATATTTATGTGATTCTATATATTAATTTTCTCTTCAAAGATTGTAAAGTTAGTCCTTGTCTCTGCCGATTTACCGGTTTCGGAATCACAGAATGGCAGGGGTTGGAAGGGACCTCTGGAGATCATCTAGTCCAACCCCCTGCTAAAAGCAGGTTCCCCTAAAGCAGGTTACCCAGAACTGCATCCAGGTGGGCTTTGACTATCTCCAGAGAAGGAGAGTCCACAGCCTCCCTGGGCAGCCTGTTCCAGTGCTCTGTCACCCTCACAGCAAAGAAGATTTTCCTCATGCTGAGGTGGAACTTCCTGTGCTCCAGTTTGTGCCCATTGGCCCTTGTCCTGTCACTGGGCACCACTGAGAAGAGCCTGGCCCCATCCTCTTGACTCCCGCTCTTTAGATATTTATAAGCCTTGATAAGGTCCCCTCTCAGTCTTCTCTTCTCCAGGCTAAAGAGCCCCAGGTCTTTCAGCCTTTCCTCGTAGGAGAGATGCTCCAGCCCCCTCATCATCTTCGTGGCCCTCCGCTGGAATCTTTCCAGTAGTTCCCTGTCTCTTGAACTGGGGGGCCCAGAACTGACCTTTGGCTGGTTCACGCTGGCTCACGTTAGCAAAACTTTAGGCCTCAGGCTAAGACTGAACCACTGTCCCCGCAATCCAGATGCAGCCTCACCAGGGCCGAGTAGAGGGGGAGGATGACCTCCCTCAACCTGCTGGCCACACTTCTTAATGCAGCCCAGGATACCGCTGTCTTTCTTGGCCCCAAGGGCACATTGCTGTTTCTTTAGTGCTGATGCCTAGATTCCAGTACAGGGGAAGCGTTAGGCCTACAAGCGTGCGTGATGTTCCGGGGAGGCACGTGATATGGCTGGGGGGGGGATGGGGAGCTGTGACAGCCATACTCAGCCAGTATGACCGTAAGAGATTGAGACTTACTCTGCCTTTTTAGTGCCATGTTAGATGCTGGCAAGCTGGGTAGAGGATCCCAGAAGTCTTGAAAAATGGCTGGAACAAGGACCAGGACCCTTATGACACCATGCACCAGTGATGTTTAATCCTTAAAACCTTCCTGATAAATGAATCACTGCAGGGTTGAGATGTGTTTGAAAGTTGGTGTCAGTGTAAAGAGGTGTTTTTAGATCGGGAGCTATTGTAGTTCTGATTTACAAGATGAGTTTCTATATATTTTTGCAGATGATTATTGGTTTAGCATGCTTATCAGGCATTTATATGTCTTTTCTTTCCTGTCTAGAGGAAAATATTCAGAGCAATAGAGATTTCTGAAGCTTGGTAGTGATTTTGCATGATACACTCCATACACTGTGATAAGAGAAGTGAGATGCCTTGATGTGCGTGAACTTTTGGGACTTTTGTTTAGTACTCTTCAGCTGGTTGTCAGCTGGAATTGTCTTGCTCTCTCCGTTCCTTCTCTGCACATGAAGTGGAAATGTCCCTCAAGCAGGGGGGGGAGAACAATTTTGTAATCTCCTGTTAAGTCCTGTCACTCTCTTCTGTTGGTTCAGCCTGTTCTCCCGTGGCAAGACCACACAGCAGGAGGGAAAATGTAAAAAGAGATAGAAAGAAAGGTTGGGAACCTGTAACAATCAGAAGAGTGTTCTAAAAGCCCATCACAAGACTCAGCTGTGAGGGAAGTTAAAAACTTTGGTTGTGATGCTTTTAAGGCACTCACTGTGGTAAGTCTTGGTGTACTGCAGTCTGTGAAAGGATCAGTGGTTGCAGGAGTTTGAGGTCTCAAAGTACCTTCTAGCTTAACACGTTCTTTGACTGTATCTTTACAAGGGTGCTGGTTTTGTGAGACTGAGCACACTTTAAAATTACTAATTCAGTTATAATAGCAGCTATGTATAATCTAATTTTATTTTGGTAATGATGATGAAGTTCCCAAATCGTGTCTGTTTTCTGTTGGTATGTGGAAGGTGAATTGAGAAATCTGGGAGCATAGCTGTGACATTACATTTTTATGAACTAGCAGGTATTTATTTCACTGTGCTAGCAAGGTCCGTTGTTCTGTTCAACTCTCTTGTATTTGTACTGCTCATTCTGTTGTAAAAAAAAATCCCAGTGTATTGTTTGTCACCAGGATGTGGAATTTTCAGCCTGTTCGCCTTCAGGAATGCATTACACGCTTTCTAAAGCACCTTGCAATGGGTGAGTGAGAAAACCAAGTTCCTGTCTGCTTTATCCAGTGCTTTGTGTAGGTGAAGTAGCTGAAAGATGGTACACTTCCAGAAATTGGGAAGTGAATGGGGTAGGAGACTGACAAGACAAATTAATTTCATAGAACCTGAAATTTAAAAATAAGCTGTGCTTATGAAAAATACCTCAAATGTGTCATAACCTTTCAGGTGTATCACCCATCAAGGTAGCAATTGCTGAGATATATTAAGAATCTTTTCAGTCAGCATCTCAATGAAAAGTGGTCAGTGTTTTCTGAAGAAAATAGTATGGGATAAATTCCGTAGAAAATAAGTCTTGTGGATTATTCTCGATCTGTTTTCCCTAAACACCATAAATGCTGGAGGCCACAGGCACAGGGGTTGTATGCTCAGATTAATTATTCAGGCTAGAGCTGTTGCTGATGTTTAGCTCCAACAGCCGAGGAAATGAGGCTAAACCTTCCCCGGGCGCTTTGCCTTCATGCTGGAGACACAACGGGTTTATTGTCAGGTTTTGCTGTCACGTGAAAGCTTACGTTGCTTCCCGATGCAGATGGGCCATGGGAGGAGCGGGAGGGTGTGCAGGCCGCGTCGGGATAGGTTTAAAAACTCTGCCTGACCTGAGCTGCTTTTGCAAAAAGTCACCTTGGCTGCCTCTGCGTCCGCAGCAAATTCAGCCGTACGCTGGATGAACTGCCCAAGGAGGACCTCTAGCTAAGGGCGTGGGGTTCGGTGCCAGTGTGTTGTTACACAGCGATGAGATGGAGACCCGTTAAAACACGGAGTCCGCCTCGCCCAGGGGCTGGCTACAGAGAAGCCCCATGTGCATTTCTGCCAGAAGAATAATTCTCTGCCGTAGAGCCGCAAAGGAGTCGGGTTTATTTGTCCTGTGTTGGAGCCACTGTGTGAATGAGGCCTAGCATGGGTCGCAAGGGCTTTGGAAAGCCGGATAAAGCCAAGAGTATGTGTGTGGAGAGATTATTGTAGATCCTGGTAACTCCTTCTTTCTGTTTTTTTGTTTGCTTTGGGATTACCATGTCTTAAGGGAAGGAGCAGTAGGAAAATACATATTCTCTGCTTCATCTCTGAAAGACCCCTCCTCAGATTCAGATACACTTCACCTTCAAGCAGAGAAAAATAGAGAAAAGTAAATATATATATGTAATAAATATATTTATCACACACGTATAATCTCTAAAACTTCAGTATGTGGTAAATCCCAAAATTATACATGAAAGTAAAAGAGAAATAATTTTTTGGTACTTCCAGTATAATTTTAATTTACAAAAGTCAGTTATCAACTAGTTATCGTTGGTATTGACACAAAAATGCTGCACATGAGATCTATGTTTAAAAAAGACCTTCGAAAGAGGACCTGTTCTAATATGGATTAAAAAAGAGGTCGATAAAACTGTGGTTACTCACAATGAAATGTGTAAATCATATTAGGATTTAGCATTACTAGTAGTTTTAATAATAATGGTTTTACTAATAATTTTGTGGACCACAGTAATCTCTTGTGTCTGATAGATTCCAGTAGTGAATCCTGTGATAACATTCCTGCAGGGGAACGATGGTAGTTTTAAGTCAAGGGCATCTTCTTCCAACAGGTTTAACCTTCGCTAAGCAGATTCTCTCACCGGCAGTTGCTGCCTTTATTGTCGTCACGGACACGTCTCGCTGATAACTCAGCAGCCTGGGGTTCAGGCAGTGCCTGCGGCAGCCCCCCAGGGACAGCTTCAGTTTTTGCCTCCTTGAGGCCAGCGCTGGCCCTTCCCTGGCCCCCGGCGTTTCCTGCAGCGCTGCCTTTTGGCAGCTTTGTCTTACTGGTCTCCTGTCCTTAAAGCCAAGTTTCTGGTCATGTCCTGACCAAGGCCTGCGTTCTCCCAGGGATGTTTTGGCGATGTCACAAGCCAGGATTGGCTTTGCCAGTAATGTCTGTGCTGGTATTTCTTCTGTAACACAGCTTGGGCTTGAAGCTGTGAGTGGAGAGCAGCGCTCTCCTCACGAGTGCACACAGAAACCTCAAACAACCTTTCAAAGGTATTTTATGAAGCAATTAGTCTTTAGAAGGAGAGCTATTTAGCTCTGACTCCCGTGCTGTTTCCCACGTGGTTGGCTTATATTTTACCGGCTTCAAGTTGGCAGGCTCAGCGCTGTTTGCACCTGCCTGTGGAAATGTGCCCAGGAGTCACCAACGCCTTAGAGAGCTTCACAGATAACAAAAATTTCTGACATATATGAAGGAAAAAACCTGGAAGAGAAATGCTTCTGAGCTAAATCTATCCGATTTAAAGAAAAAAAAAAAAAGTCATGAGTGCTGTGGAAAACCAAACAAGGCCTTAAAAAGGAAGGCAAAGTGAGTTAAGACCTTCACATAGGCTTAAGAAATACTCTGAGCTAACAACTGCTTTCCTAAATAGACTAACGACTGAAATTTCAGCAGCCGGTGGGATGCAGTTTGATTTGGTATGAAAATGTGCTTTGCTGTGCGAGGGACTGCTGGAGCAGGGCATGGGATAACACTCTCCACGTCTGCCTTTGTGATGGGCAGAGCAGAGGTCGAGATACTGCGGGAGGCCCTCTCATTAGGCAGGCTGC